AAACTCTATTCTCACTACGCACCAGAGAGTTCACACTGGCGAAAGGCCTTATAAGTGCAGTGAATGTGGAAAGTGTTTTAGCCAAAGCTCTACTCTTATTAAGCACCAGAGTTCACATTGGAGAAAAACCATATGAGAATTCTGAATGAGGAGAATTCTTTGGCCAAAGCATCCAGCTTACTCAACACCGAAAAGCTCACACCCCAGAAAGGCCTCATCAGTGCAGCAGATGTGGAAAAGTTTTCTGTCAAAGGTCTGCTCTGACTGAGCACTAGAAACTTCACAGCTCAGATAGACCCTATGAGTACAGCAAATGTAGGAAAGCTTTCAGCCAAAGGTCTTACCTTATTTGATACCAGAAAGTTCATCTAGAGAAGGGCCTTCAAATGAGATGAGAGCAGTGAATGAGTTGTCTCCTTAGTTAATACATCATACTGAATAGACTCTCTGAGGAAGTCATCAACTGGAAGTTGAATGCCATACATCTGAACAGCCCTCGTGTGCAGATTGCCTATGAGTACTGGCTTCATAGGAAGCTTTTCAGGAGCTATACTCTACTTTCTAACCTGTGCAAGCCCCTTGCTGGACTCAATATCACTGTAAGTTTTTTACCTCTCCCAAGTGGCAGATCCCAGTACTGGGCATCAGTCATCGCATTGTGATCAGGGTAGGTAGACTTTTGTGCTGTCCTTTCTCTGGAGGGAAGCATGAATAGCCTGAGCACTTGGGTGTTGTCATGCTCTTCTGTCAAGGACAGGACCTAAGCAGCTTTGACCACTGTGACCAAATGTGGGTTCCCTTGGCAGCTTACAGTTTACTTTCCTTGGTGGTATTGTCTCATGTCATGCTCACGATGGATGTTTCTAGCTCCAGATCACCCTGTTTGGGAACTATCTGCCTCCATTTGCTCTACTCTGTGAAAAAATAAAGACTATAGTTTAAGCCACATCTTTCGTGGGTGTTCCAATCTTTGTTTTCTTCAATAAGGATAGTATCATGGTGGAGAATGGTTTTCACTCCAGTTTTGATCTAATTTGAATTGTTGTCCAAAGCCTCCTGGGGTAGACTACAGGGCTCTGGGACTAATGTGACCTGGATGTTAGAATTTTTGGTGGGTCCCGAGGTCACCCTGAGATGAGGACAGTTTTATGAACCACCAGTGTTTTTTGGAGCTGCATAAGTTCTCTTTTTTCACATGGGATGTCAGATCATGACCCCAGTACTGTTCAAGAGAAGAAGTTCTCTAGGTCCAGCTGGAAAAGAGCCATGTGCCATAATGTCCATAACATGGTAGGCTGGTTTTGCTGAGCATTAGATTACAGACATCAGATGGGAACCATATTTGGTACAGAAACAGGGAATTAATAGGGAGTGACTAGCAAACAAAAAGAGATGAACCTATTCTAAAATTGCATCCATGAATGTTCCCTTGACTGTGGCTGTTTAAGATAATGTTTTTGCAAAAATTCTCAGGAGATACAGAGCGGTTTCTCTCCTGAGGTCCCAGTCAGTGTCAGGCTAAATAATGTAAAGGTTTTGAGATCCCGTAGCATCTTCAGATTGTTTATCTCAAGGCCATTGGTGCATAGCAAAGATAATGGGTAATAAAAGTGGAAATCGTGTAGTCCAGGCATGTGGTTTTTAGGATGCAGGCAGTTCCTGGATAACTCACGTGGAAACACCTTTCATTGCCCACCAGTCTTCACTGCTACCACAACAGAATCCCTCCCATTAGACAAGGAGATGTGATGGGGTTAACATGTGGTTGCCAGAGTTCTACTGAAAAGGAGATTCAGAAAAGATTCAGATTTTTTATGTGAATCCAATTTTTATTAAATTTAATTGAGCTGTATAGTTGGTATGTGCTGAACTGAACATACCTAAAATGTACAGCTTGGTTAAGTTTTAATATGTGTAAACCCACAGAACCATCATAATTACAAACATCCATCACTCCCATATCCACCTTCTGACATTTCTCCCAGGACTCCCAGGCAACTAGTATTGATTTACTTTTTTCCCATTCAATTAGTGTTTTCTACACTTAATATCATTGGGGTCTTAATGTTTACTTTTATATTTGTCTCTTTTTCATGATGCATAATTATTTTGAGAATCATTTAAGTTGCTGATAAGTATAATTCATTGTTTTTCCTGAAAAATATACTGTTTGGATATACCACCCACTGACTGTTTATCCATACATCTGTTAAAGGATGGGTTTTTGTGGTTTGTATCCTTTTTGTCTATGACAGATAAGTTTAATAAATTATATGTACGTATGGTTTCATATTCAAAATTCAATGACTATACCCTTTTGTGTGCCATTCACAGTATGGGAGCATTCCGGTTTTCCTGTATTCCTCTCTAGTACTTGGTTGATGTGGCTAGTGTTTCAGTATTACCTGTTTAAATGTGTAGAGGTGTCTCACTATGGTCTGATTGCATTTCCCTAATGATTCATGATGTTGAACATTTTTGTGTTTATTTGCCAGGTGTATGTCTTCTTTGATAAAATGTCTGTCTTTTATTAGTAACTGAGAAGGCAAAAACCTGTTGGAGCTTGACTTCTTCAATGACTTCGCTGGGTGGAATAAATGTGCTCACATCGTTATTCATCACGTATGGTCCTCATTATTAACATAGTGTCCGTTACTTTAAGTCTAGACACGTATAAAACAACTAACCGAACCTTGATTGTTGTGTTTGCCAATTTCCCTGGTATGAATACTCCAACTGTGGGCAATTCCAAACAGTGAATATGAAGTTTTTACTGCATCAGCGGCGCAAGAAGCCAAACACTGAGATGCCAATGTTTGCAGGGGAGAAGGCAGCCAAGCCGGGAGCTAGAAGAAGTCTCAGGTCCACCTTCCCGGAGGCGATGTGCTTGAGATATTTAAGGTATAAAGAGGCAGTGTGGTCTTAGGTGTGGGGAAAGGCCATCAGAGTTAGAGAAAAGGTGAGGTAATTGCTGTGTGCAGGTGTATTTCATTACATGCTTCTTCACAGATGCATGTTCAAAAATGGTGTCCCTGAATGGGACATCACTGGCTCTACTCTTTAATGAGGGAACCAGAGAAGCAACACATGGTCCACCTGCTTATGGCCACCCCAAATTCCTCCTCTGTCTTGTTCACTATGGCTCCCTGTCTGGAGTCTATGTTCTCTTGACTCTGACCTAACACAGTGAGGTCTAAAGCCTTAGGCTACATCCTTTGGAAGAGCAATAAGACAATGTTTAATAGACCCCAGCTATGGATGCATGAACTTTGTGTCATAGTGACAACCTGGTATCATGTGCCCGTTTGGTTTTGTAGGTTTCGGAAACATCTGAAATATTATGGCTGTCTCTCTGGGACCAGCGAAGACTACATTCCATGGAAATCTGGGTTCGTCTCCTTTAAGAAGCGTGAAACTCCGCCCCCGTCCTCAGAGCCTCCAGGACACTCTTTCCCAGGAGCCCGGGCAGTGAGGCGGGGCTTTTCCTGTAGGCGGGGAGCACCACCCCTTGACAGGTTCTAGAGGCCTGTGAACTGCATTACCCGGAAAAAAACTACGCCAGTTCGTGGGCGCCCCTGGGCCAATGAATGCTCAGGAAAGAGTCACTTCCGTTCTAGAGGACGGAGTCTGGGCGGCTTTTCCGGCGTCGACTGAGGTCGTTATTTTGTAAACTCGGCTGTGTTCACAGGCGGGGAACTTCGCAACGCTGTGAAGGCCAGAGGTCAGGGAGCCAGGAAGGCGCCGTGCCCGCTTCTCTGAGCTTCGTCTGAGGCTCGGCGTGGGCGCTATCCGGCCTGACTCTGTCGGGCGGTTGGTGCCGCAGTGCCCGGGCCCCACCTTCACCCACAAACTCCGCTGGCGCCGGCGCAGATGTGTCTGATTCAGGTAAATGCTGCGTCATCCGGGCCCTCCCCCAACTCTTCTCATTCAGCAGTGTTTTATCTGTGTTCTTTTACTAGTGTCCTATAGTTATTATTTGTACCCCCAAAACTTGGCTTTCCGAAGTTTGAAATATGACCTGCCTGGGAAAAAAAATTGCAGAGGACTTCAATGTGCGGTTGAAGAAGCTCTGAGATTAATATCACCGCTCAGGCCAAAATTGCTATATAAACAGGACCTCAGAAGCAGCCTGTGGGATTTTTCCAAACAATTATCCCCATCCCCAGCAAGTTAATGTATTGGCTGCTGTTTGAAGTAAGCATTTCCTTTCTTTTCTTGACAGTTTTGCCAACTATGTGGAAACTATTTGACGTGTCTTGTTTAGTTTCGCTTGTTTTAAAAGTTTTTTTATGAATGTAATATGTTTTATGATGTGTTTTTCTTCTTTTGCGCAATGTGGTGTGACTTTACCCATGTTTTTCACGGCTATCCCTTTGTGGAAGAAAGAGGTGAAACAGGAGGGAAGGGGCAGGGCACAGCCTTTAAAGGAATGACATATCCATAGGACTTGACTAAAACAAACAGGTTTGAACCAATTAGGTCCAAGATGGCGGAAGATTTGATTTCCAGTGGATCTTGAGGCTCATTATACTCCCATTGTAATACATGAGCATGTAAATAACACACCCACCAGCGACCTGCCAGTTCTAAGGCTAACTCTAAAAGGCCAAAAAGTGGGTAGTGGCCCAATTCCTGGAAATACCTGCCCCTTCCCGGGAAGTAGTTGGAATAATCCTCCCACTCAGCCTGTGAAATTACGTAGAACATAAAAAGTAACCACGTCATATTTTGAGGCCTCTCGCCTTCTGAGATGGCCCACACTCTCTCTGTGGAGTGTGTTCCTCGCTAAATAAATCCAATTCTTACCTATCACGTTGTCTCACTGAACTCTTTCTGTGAGGAGACTTCAAGAACCTGAGGTTCATTAAGTCCTGAGACCAGGTGTGTGATATCAAGTAAAGTCCCAATCTGAGTTGCATGGTTTCAGGGGGACCCCTTGCAGGGTCTGAGAGTGGGCACTTGTGTAACACTCGTAAATTAATTGTCCAAGGAGACACACATGCTGACAAAGCAAGAGACTTTATTGGAAAGGGGTGCCTAGGCGAAGAGCAACACAGTAGGGAACCCAGGAGAATTGCTCTGCCATGATGCTCGCAATCTCAGCTTTTATGGTAATAGGGTTAGTTTCCGGGTTGTCTATGGCCAGTTGTTCTGACTCAGGGTCCTTCCTGGTGGTGCACTCACCTCTCAGCCAAGGTGGATTCCAGCGTGAGGGGGATTCTGGGAGGTAGGCAGGACATATCATCTCTTCCCTCCTCCTTTCAGACCCTCCCAGATTCTCCCAGTTAGCTTTCAGAGGCAGCACCTCTTTATCAGAACTTCCTGTTGTGAGACAATTCAGGCAAGTGGTTATCATTGTGCCTGGCCAAGGTGGGCGGTTTCAGTTCCCTAACACATTCATTTTCCTTTCTTGTGCTGTATTCTGTAGATATGAGTATATGAGTAAAATGTCTTTATAAGTTCCCCTGTTGAAGGCTCTTCTTTGTTTACATGTTTCTTTTTTCTTCTTTTTTTTTTTTTTTTTGGTCTACTTTCTGTATTTATAGCCATACCTGCCATCTGTTCTTGTGTACATATGCATTTATCTAGCATATATGTTAAAATTATTTATTTAAATGAACATTTCCAGTTTTTAATTTTGTTCTTACTAATTTTAACTTAGTTCTTTGAATGAAATTATACATATTTTTCAACTACCCCATTGTTAGATTTTGATACAGACTTATTATACATTACATAAACTCAGTTTTACAGCATACACACACTTAGAGGGTTTTGGGGTTTTTTAAATAATTTTTATTGGAGTATAGTTGATTTACAATGTTGTGTTAGTTTCAAGTGTACAGCAAAGTAAATCGCTTATAAATATACATATATTCATTCTTTTCTAGAGTCTTCTCCCATATAGGTCATTACAGGGTACTGAGTAGAGTTCCCTGTGCTATAAAGTAAGTCCTAATTAGTTATCTGTTTTATATATAGTAGTGTGTATATATCAATCCCAGTCTCCCAAATTATCCCCCCCTCTCCGCTTTCCCCCGGTAACAAGAAGTTTGTTTCTACACCTGTGGCTCTGTTTCTGCTTTGTAAATAAGTTTATTTCTATTATTTTTTGTTTTTTAGCAATATCATCATGTCTTTTTCTGTTTGACTTACTTCACTCAGTATGACAGTCTCTAGGTCCATCCATGTTGCTACCGATGGCATTATTTTGTTCTTTTTTATGGTTTTTTTATCCAGTGTGTATATGTACCACATCTTTATCCACTCCTCCATTGGTGGACACTTAAGTTGCTTCCATGTCTTGGCTGTTGTAAATAGTGCTGCAGTAAACATTGTGCTGCTTGTATCTTTTCAGATTGTGGTTTTCTATGGATATATGCACAGGAGTTGGATTGCTGAATTATATGGTACTTCTATATTTAGTTTTTTAAGGAACCTCTATACTGTTCTCCATAGCAGCTGTACCAATTTACATTCCCACCAGCAGTGTAGGAGGGTTCCCATTTTTCCACATCCTCTCCAGCATTTATTATTTGTAGACTTTGATGATGGCCATTCTGACCAGTGTGAGGTGGTTCCCACTGTAGTTTTTATTTACATTTCTCTAATAGTAGTGATGTTGAGCATCTTTTCATGTGCATTTGCCCATCTGAATGTCTTTGGAGAAATGTATATTTAGGTCTTCTGCCAATTTATTGATTGGATTGTTTGTGTTTTTTTCGATACTGATCTGCATGAACTGTTTGATTATTTTGGAAATTAATCCCTTGTCAATTGCTTCGTTTGCAAATATTTTCTCCCATTTTGTGGGTTGTCTTTTCGTCTTTTTTATGGTTTCCTTTGCTGTGCACAACCTCGTAAGGTTAATTAGGTTCCATTTGTTTTTGTTTTTATTCTCATTACTCTAGGAGGTGGGTCAAAAAAGATCTTGCTGTGCTTTATGTCGAAAGTGTTCTGCCTATGTTTTCCTCTAAGAGTTTTATAGTGTCTGGCCTTCACTTAGGTCTTTAATCAATTTTGACTTTATTTTTGTGTATGGTGTTAGTGGGTGTTCTCATTTCATTCTTTTACATGTAGCTGTCTAGTTTTCCTAACACCACTTATTGAAGACACTGTCCTTTCTCCATTTTACATTCTTGCCTCTTTGGTCATAGATTAGGTGACCATAGGTGTGTGGGTTTATCTCTTGACTTTCTATCTATCCTGTTCCATCAATCTGTATTTCTGTTTTTGTGCCAGTGCCAAACTTTTGGTTACTCTAACTTTGTAGTATAGTCTGGAGTCAGGGAGCCTGATTCTTCCAGCTCCGTTTTTCTTTCTCAGGCTTGCTTTGGCTATTCGAGGTCTTTCTGTTTCCATACAAATGGTAAAATTATTTGTTCTAGTTCTGTGAAAAATGCCATTGGTAATTTGTTAGGGACTACACTGAATCTGTAGACTGCTTTGGGTAGTATAGTCATTTTCACAATATAGATTCTTCCAATCCAAGAACATGGTCTATCTCTCTGTTTATGTCATGTTTGATTGCTTTCATCAGCATCTTACAGTTTTCTGAGTACAGGTCTTTGGCCTCCTTAGGTACGTTTATTTTTATTATTATTTTAATAAATTTATTTATGTATTTATCTTGGGCTGCATTAGGTCTTTGTTGCTCCACGCAGGCTTTCTCTAGTCGTGCCGAGCAGGGGCTACTTCTCGTGGTGGTGCGTAGGCTTCTTGTTGCAGTGGCGTTTTTTTCTTGTTGCAGAGCACAGGCTCTAGGCATGCAGGCTTCAGTAGTTATGGTATGGGGGCTCAGCTGTTCTGCGGCATGTGGGATCTTCTCGGATGAAGGCTCGAACCCACGTCCCCTGCATTGGCAGGTGGATTCTTAACCACTGTGCCACCAGGGAAGCCCCTTAGGTAGGTTTATTCCTAGGTAGTTTATTCTTTTTGTTGCAGTGGTGAATGGGATTGTTTCCTTAATTTCTCTTTCTGATCTTTCATTGTTAGTGTATAGGAATGCAAGAGATTTTTGTGCATTCATTTGGTATTCTGCAGGTTTACCAAATTCACTGATGAGCATAGTAGTTTTCTGATAGCATCTTTAGGATTTTCTCTGAGTAGTATCATGTCATCTGCAAACAGTGATAGTTTTACTACTTCCAATTTGCATTTCTTTTCTTTTTGTTCTCTGATTGCTGTGGCTAGAACTTCTGAAACTATTGGCAGGAGTGGACATCCTTGTTTTGTACCTGATCTTTGAGGAAATGCTTTCAGTGTTTCACTGTTGAGAATGATGTTAGCTGTGGGTTTGTTGTATATGGCCTTTATTATGTTGAGGTAGGTTCCCCCATGCCAACTTTCTGGAGAGTTTTTATCGTAAATGAGTTTTGAATTTTGTCAAAAGCTTTTTCTGCATCTATTGAGATGATCATATGGGTTTTATTCTTTAATTTGTTAATACGGTGTATACATTGATTGATTTGCATATATTGAAGAATCCTTGCATCCCTGGGTAAATCCTACTTGATCATGGTGTATGATCCTTTTAATGTGTTGTAGTCAGTTTGCTAGTATTTTATTGAGGAGTTTTTTTGCATGTATGTTCATCAGTGATATTGGCCTGTAATTTTCTTGTGTGTGGGTGGTATGTTTGGTTTTGATATCAGGGTGATGATGACCTCACAGAATGAGCTTGGGAGTGTCTCCTCTTCTGCAGTTTTTTATAGGTGTTTTCTTTTTAAATGTTTGATAAGTTCTTCTATGAGGCCATCTGGTCCTGGCCTTTCTGTTTGTTGGAAGTTTTTTTCTAAATCAGTTTTAATTTCAGTACTGGTCAGTGGTTTGTTCATATTTTCTTTTTCTTCCTGGCTCAGTCTTGGTAGGTTGTATCTTTCTAGGAATTTGCCTATTTCTTCTAGGTTGTCCATTTTATTGTATATAGTTGCTTGCAGTAGTCTCTTAGGAGCCTTTGTATTTTTGTGGTGTCCGTTTTTATTGATTTGAGCCCTCACCTGTTGTTCTTGATGACTCTGGCAAGGTTTATGTTTTCAAAAAAACAGCTTTTAGTTTCATTGATCTTTGCTATTATTTGCTTTAGGTGTAAGTAAGATTAGGTTATTTATTGAAGATTTTTCTTGTTTCCTGAGGAAAGATTGTATTGTTATAAACTTCGCTCTTAGAACTGTTTTTGCTACATCCCATAGTTTTGGATCAGTGTGTTTTCATCATCCTTTGTCTCTAGGTAGTTTTTTTTTTTTTTTTTTTTTTTTTTTTTTTGTGGTACGCAGGCCTCTCACTGTTGTGGCCTCTCCCGTTGCAAAGCACAGGCTCTGGACGTGCAGGCTCAGGGGCCATGGCTCACAGGCCCAGCTGCTCCGCGTCATGTGGGATCTTCCCATACCGGGACACAAAACTGTGTCCCCTGCATCGGCAGGTGGACTCTCAACCACTGCGCCACCAGGGAAACCCTCTAGGTAGTTTTTGATTTTCTTTCATGTATTCAGTGATCCATTGTTTTTTAGTAACATGTTCAGCCTCCATGTGTGGGGTTTTTTTTTAATAGTTCGTTGTGTAATTTATTTCTAATCTCATATGGACAAAGTGCTTGATATGATTTCATGTAAATTTGCCAAGGTTTTCTTTGTGGCCCAGGATGTGTTCTATCCTGGAGAATGTTCTAGGTATACTTGAAAAGAATGTGTATTCAGTTGCTTTTGGATGCAATGTGGTTTAAATATCAATTAATGCCATCTTGTCTAATGTGTCATTTAAGGCTTGTTTTTCCATATTGATTCTCTGGATGATCTGTCCATTGGTGTAAGTGGGGTGTTAAAGTCCCCCCATCATTGTGTTGCTGTCAGTTTTTCTTCTTATGGCTGTTAGCATTTTTTTCATTATAGATTGATCCCTTGATCATTCTGCAGTACTTCTTTGTCTCTTGTACCATAAAGTCTATTTTGTGTGATATGAGTATTGCTACTCCAGCTTTCTTTGGATTTCATATAGGCAATTTCTTTTATTTTTTCTTCTTCCCATGGCTTGAGGGATCATAGTTCCCCAACTTTGGATTTGTTTTTGTCTGGTGTTCTGTCTTCCCTTCCTTTTGATTTCATCTCTTGTGGTTTGATGATTATCTTTAGTGTTGTGTTTGGGGTGTTTTTTTTTTTCTTTTTTTGAACCTATTGTAATTTTTTGGTTTGCAGTCTGCCTGTATTTTTTTTTCTTTTTGGCTGAGTTGGGTGTTTGTTGCTGTGTGCGGGCTTTCTCTAGTTGCAGCAATTGGGAGCTACTCTTCATTGCAGTGTGCAGGCTTTTCATTTACATGGCTTCTCATTGCAGAGCATTGGCTCTAGGCACGTGAGCTCAGTAATTGTGGCTTGGGGGCTCTAGAGTGCACACTTGGTAGTTGTGGCACACAGGATTACTTGCTCCATGGCATGTGCGATCTTACCCGACCAGGACTTGAACCCGTGTCCCCTGCATCTATGTGGTTTTTATATAGCAGTCTATGTATGTACAGGATTGTTTTGAGGTGCTGGTGTCTTAATTTCAAATGCAATTCCCATTTCCTGCATTTGTACTCCTCATGGTTGCTGTTTTGATATCATATTTCGTGTGTGGATGGTTTCCTTCTTTTTTTTTTTTTTTTTTTGGTTTCCTTCTTTTACTGTCTGTTTGCCTTTACTGATGAGCTTTCTCTTTTGTGATTTTCTTGTTTCTAGTTGTGACCTTTTCTTTTCTGCCTAGAGAAGTTCTTTTAGCACTTTTTGCAAAGTTGGTCTGGTGGTGCTGAATTCTCTTTGCTTTTGCTTGTCTTGTCTGTAAAGCTTTTAATTTCTCCATCTAATCTGAATGAAAGCCTTGCTGAGTAGAGTATTGCTGGTTGTAGGTTTTTTCCCTTTCACCATTTAAATATATTGTGCCACTTTGGCCTGCAGAGTTTCTGTTGAAAAATCAGCTGATATAGCCTTATGGTTATCATTCCTTTGTGTGTTATTTGTTGCTTTTCCCTTGCTGCTTTTAATATTTTTCCTTTGTGTTTAATTTGTATCAGTTTGATTAATATGTGTTTTGGTGTGTTTCTCCTTGGGTTTATCCTGTATGGGACTCTGCACTTCTTGGATTCGGGTGTTTCCTTTCCCATGTTAGGGATGTTTTCGGCTGTAATCTCCTCAAATATTTTCTCAGGCCCTTTCCCTTTCTCTTCTTCGACCCTTATAATGCAAATGTTGGTTCATTAAATGTTGTTATTTCCACCACTCTGTCATCCAAGCTCACTTAGTCGTTCTTCTACCTTAGTTATCCTGCTATTGAATCCCTCCAGTGTATTTTTCATTTCAGGTATTGTATTGTTCATCAAATCTACCTTTCTTTTAAACATTTCTTGTATCTTCTCCATCTGTTTCCATTCTTTTTCTGAGATTTTGAATCATCTTTACTATCATTACTCTGAATTCTTTTTCAGGTAGAATGTGATTGTACTCTTCAAATAATGCTTATGTATTGTTTTATTTATTTTTGGCTGTGTCAGGTCTTAGTTGCAGCACACAGGATCTTTCGTTGAAGCACATGGGCTCAGTTGCCCCACCACAGTATGTGGGATCCAACCTGCATCCCCTGCATTGGAAGGCAGATTTTTAATCACTGGACCACCAGGGAAGTTCCTGAATAATACTTATTTTAGTGGAAAATCATAAATGATTAAGCTATCTTGTTAAAATACTTGTTTTAAGGGTGATAAAATGAATCATTTTAAGTGTAAAAAGTGATAATGCTTTGTCATTATCACTTTTTGTCATTGTAAGTGACATTGTAAGTGTAAAAAGTGATAATGCAAGATGTTAAGAACTCAATAAGGTATTTCTGTGTTTCTACAATGCAGATGGACTAGAGGTCAAGTCCTATAGCTTGTTGCAGTTCTCTTAAGTTTAAAGAGTCAGCAATGATGCCCAGTTATCCCCAAGTGCTGGAGGCCAAGCACTTTGATTCTGGCAAGAATCCCTTTTCCAGAGAGTCATATTCAGTGTGAATTCAGTAAATTGTGGTTCATGATCTCTACCCCTGGAGAAGAAATCTAGTAGGAAATTACAGATAGTCTCTCTGAACAGGTATGGGGGAAAAAAATGGATATATCAAAGAATATGGTGGATAAGTATAAAAAGTATATATTCTTGAATCCTATTATGTAATGTTAGCATAATTCCAAATCAGAATTTAATCTATGGATTATGTAAGGTGGAGATTTTTATAAAGTAATAATTTTTAATATAACCAAAGTAAAATTTGAAAAGAACCATTTCCTCTCCAACACAATCCCTTATTCTTCTGGCTCAATGGGCTCCAGTCACACTAGCCTTGTGGATGCTGCTCATACACACCAGACATGACTCTGATAGAGAGGCTTTGCACTTTTTTGTCCCACTTCTGGACAGCCTTTTCTCAAGGTATCCACATGACCTTATGGCACAACTCTATAACATTTTCTGCCCTCTTTTACATGCTTTATTTTTCTCTTGAGTATTTGTCTTTGCCTGAAATATTAAATGGTTCGCTCAGCAGAACCATTTATGGCCCCTGCACTGGTGTCAGGTGTCTTCGTGGACTTGGTGTCTGTAGATCCTAGGTTTTATGGACAGATTCCCATTTTTGGCAGCCAGCGGACTGAGACATGAAAGGTTGTCTTAGTAATGGGGCTAGTATATACAAATGCTTGAGGATGTGATTGTGATGGGAGTGCTCTAGGACATGTAGGTCTGTTAACAACTGATAAGGACAGAGAGCAAGGGGGGCAGAATTAGAATGGTAGCACGAGGTTTCTGTTCTGAGAATGATGGTAGACAGGAGGTTCAGTGAGTAATATGCATGTGAGGAAAGTGTGTGAAGTAATTGCCCCAGGCCCTAGTACTAGGAGTATAAGAGAGAAGGATGGGGCTAAGTTTGCTTGTATCTGGGAGACATGATAGTGGGTACACTCAGGCTGTTGTCTTGGAGGAAAGGGAAAGGGCCCTGCATACCAGGCTCACAGATTACATGGTATCTCTCTGTCCACCTGCCTGTTGTTGCTCAGGGTCGTACATACTGATCAAGGAAACATGAAGAGTTATTGGGCCCACTGCCCTCTAAGTCACGGAGCTGGGGTGGATGATGAACCCAGAGTATGGGCTGGGTTTAGAAGTACTTATGGGGTCCTGGGGAGAGAGGCTGCTTATGTACAAATCTGTCCCATCATCACAGGGCCCTGTGACCTTTGAGGACGTGGCTGGGTACTTTTCCCAGGAGGAATGGAAGCTTCTTGATGAGGCCCAGAGATTCCTGTGCCGTGATGTGATCCTGGAGCCCTTTGCACTTGTTGCATCATTGGGTAAGCCCTTCCCACCTATCCCAGCATCCTGGGCAGGTCTCTGCCTTTCCCTTTTCCAAAGGCAAGTCTGTTTTTTCACAGACTCCTAGACAGTGGGCACATCTCTATTACTGCTTCCCTCTCATCTGTGTTGTTGGTGCCAAGGCTGAATGAGTACGACCTCCTTTCAGAAGTATCCCCAGTACCAGCAGCTCTGAAGTTTTTTCAGTGAAGTTTTTCTGGGTCATAAGACTTGGAATTAGTTCAGTGGGTTCCATCAGTCTCAGCCACTCCCTGCTAAGTTGACTCTGTAGACCCACACACCTCTGTGCGCTAGGTTCTGCCCCCTTCCAGCTGATATTTCCTGGGCCCTGACTGTACCAGGAATTGTTGGGATCCAGCAGGGACACTGGTTCTTTTTGTGACACTGTTTTTCTTTCCTCAGGTTTTTTGGGGGATTGGTTGTTCTCCTGGGCTAGTACTGACTGTTCACCTGTCCTGTCTTTCCCTTAGGACTTGCATTTTCTAGGTTCCATGTTGTTGTCCAACTGGAGCTGGGAGGTGAACCCTGGGACATGACAGAGTGGACATGACTCCAAGCCCCAGCATGAGGGGTTCAAAGTGGGCATGGCCCCATTGATTTGGCATCAGGGGTTCAAATTATATCAGGATCATGTCCTGTGCCCCACAGTGTTTTGGTGCCAAAGCCAGTGACTGTGTACCTCATTTCTGTGTGCACTCCCCCCAACATTGTGTCATTTCTCTGCTTTCAGTTTGTTGGCATGGAGCAGAGCACAAGGAGATAATTTCTGAGCAGAATGTTTCTGTAGAAGTGCCATGAATAAATACTTCAGAGACCTGTCCATCCAAAGTCCTGTCCCTGGAAGATGTGTAGCCTGGCCTTAAACAGTAAGTTTGCCTCTAGGTGAAGACCTGGGAACAATTCCTGGCCAGAAACTGTGTGTGTCAGGTGTGAAATTTCACCAGCACAGAGGAGGGAAACTCTTTAGAAGAGACAGGGGTAAGGCCTTTATGAGGAGCCACATAGTCCATGCATCCAAGAACTCCTTCACATGCCAGGAGGCTGGGATGGATTTCCCTGGTAGCTCTAGCCTTCTCCAGCACCAGGTCACTCCACAAAAGGATGCTGACTGCACAGCAGTGTTTCACAATGGTAAAAGTCTCTATAAGTGCTATGAGTGTGGGAAAGCCTACCCCTGGATGTATAGGCTTGCAGAGCATGAGAGAGTCCACACAGGAGAGAGGCCTTAAGAAGACAGTCACACTGGAGGAGAAAAACACATGCATGCACTAAATATGGAGAATTCTTCAGCCAAAACACCCAGCTTACTGAACACCAAACAGGTCACGCCACAGAAAAAGACCATGAGTGCAGCAAATGTAAGAAAGCTTCAGCCAAAGGTCTATAACCTCATCTATCACCAGAGTTCATACTGGAGAAAGGCCTTGAGATGAGATGAGGAGAGTAGCACATGAGCTGTCTCCTTAGTTAATACATCATACTGAATAGGCTTTGTGAGGGACTCATCAACGGAAGTTGAATGCCATACAACTGAACAACCCTAGTGTGCAGATTGCCCGTGAGTACGAGGTTTGTAGGAAGCTTTTCAGGAGCTATGCTCTACTTTCTGACTTACTGTCACTGTGAGTTTCTTACCTTTTCCAAGTGGCAGATCCCCATACTGGGACTCAGTCATCTAAGTGTGATCAGGGTAGGTAGCCTTTTGTGCTCTCGTATCCCCTGTAGAAAAGCATGGATTCCCTGAGCAGGTGGGTTTTGTCATTCTCTTCCATCAACTGGCTAGGACAGACAGGACACAGGAACAGGTTTTGTGGGTGTTCCAAACTTAGTATACCTCACTGGGGGTAGTATCATGGCAGAGAATAGTTTTCACTCCAGTTCTGGCCCATTTTGCATCGTTGTCCAAGGCCTTCTGGGGTAGAGTGCAGGGCTCTCTGTGGGACTAAAACAGGGAATTATAGGGAGAGACTACCAAAGACGAAGGAATAAAATATAAAATTGCATTCATGTATGTTCCCACCACTGTGGCTGTTTTGCATAAAGGTTTTTGCAGAAACCTCCTGAGCCTCAGTCAGTGTCAGACTGAGTAACGTAAAGGTTTTAGGATTCCCTCAGCATCTGCAAATAGTTTATCTCAAGGCCATTTGATGCACAGTGAAAACAATGGGGAATGAGTGTGGAAATCGTGTAGTACAGGCATGTGATTTTTAGGACCCAGGCAGAGTTCTTGGATAACTTAAGTGGAAACACTTTTCAGGGATTCCCCTGGTGGCACGGTGGTTAAGAATCCACCTGCTGCAGGGGACAGGGGTTCAAGCCCTGGCCTGGGAAGATCCCACATGCCTCATAGCAACTAGGCCTGTGTGCCACAACTTCCAGAGCCTGTGCTCTGCAACGAGAGGCCACTGCAATGAGAATCCCCCACACCACAACAAAGAGTAGCCTCTGCTCACCACAGCTAGAGAAAGCCCAGGCACAGCAACAACGGCCCAACACAACGAAAAATAAAATTAAAAAAACCTTTCATTGCTCACCAGTCTTCATCACTACTACTACAGAATCCCTCCCATGAGACAAGGAGTCAAGGATGGGGTTGTGGTTTGCCAGAGTTCTACTGAAAAGGAGATTCAGAGTAAGATTCCAGGGGGATCCTTGGCTCCTGCAAGGCACATGGCACACACACACACACCCCAAATTCAGATTTTTATGTGGAGCCAAAATTTAATTGAGCTGTATATGGGCATGTATTGAATTTGAACATACCTCATAAAATGTGCAGCTTGATTAAATTTTGATACATATAAACCCCCAGACCCAGTGTCATAATTGTCATAATTACAAACATCCACCATCACTGCCACACCCACCTTTGAACACCCCCTCACAACTCCCAGGCAACTACTATTGATTTCCTTTTTTCCCATTCAGTTAGTGTTTTCTAGACTTTTAATATCATTGGGGTCTTTATGTTTCATATTCTAATTTTTTTTTTTTTTTTTGCCACATCACACACCATGGGGCATCTACCCCAACCAGGGATTGAACCTGTGGCCCCTGCAGTGGAAGTACAGAGTCTTACACCCCTGGACCAGGGAAACCCCTGGTTTCATATTTCAAAACGAATGAATAGGGTTGTATCCTTTCTGCATTGGGAACCTTCCATCCCCTGTGTTCCGCACCAGTAGTGGGTTGGTATGGTTACTGTTTTGAATATTACTTTTTTTGCGGTACACGGGCCTCTCACTGTTGTGGCCTCTCCCGTTGCAGAGCACAGGCTCTGGACGTGCAGGCTCAGCTGCCATGGCTCACGGGCCCAGCCACTCTGCAGCATGTGGGATCTTCCCAGACCGGGGCACGAACCCGTGAACCCGTGTCCCCGCATCGGCAGACAGACTCTCAACCATTGCATCACTACAGAAGCCCCTGAATATTAGCTGTTTTAAAAGTGTGGATACATACCTCACTGTGGTCTGATGCATTTCTCTAGTGATTCATGATGTTGAACATTCCTGTGTTCTTTGCCAGGTGTATTGTCTTCTTTGATTAAAATGTCTTTTTATTAGTAACTGTGGAGAGAATAAAAAGAAATGTGTTGCAACTTGTTTTTTCTCAGTGACTTTGCTGGATGGAATAAATGTTTAGTGCCCCACATGTAGTCCTTATTAACATAGTCTCCATTACTGTAAGTCTAAACACCTACTTAAAAAAAAACCCAACACCCCCCCCCCAATTATTGTGTTTGCCAATTTCCCTGGTATGAATACTCCAACTGTGGGGAGTTTCACACTGTGAACAAGAGGTTATTTTACTAAACCAGAGGTGCAAGAAGCCAAACAGTGGGACGTCAAAGCTTGCCAGAGAGGAATTTCACTCACAAGGCAGCACAAGCCAGGAGACAAAAAAGTTTCACAGCCACCTTCCTGGAGGTGAGGTGCTGTAGGGGACAAAGAGGCAGGGTAGTCTTAGGTGGGGGGAAGGGCAATCAGAGAAAAGGTGAGGCAGTAGTGTGTACAGCTGTATCTGCATTACAGGCTTCTGTTCTTCACACATAGCTGGATAAGAGCTGACTCCAATTTCCTAAAAAAACAACTGAGGCTCCCCCTTCCCTACAGTGTCCCCACCCTGTCAGAGATGTTTTCTACAGTGTGGGACTTCCCTGGTGGTCCAGTGGTAAAGAATCCACCTTCCAATATAAGGGATGAGGGTGATACAATCCCTGGTCAGGGAACTACGATCCCACATGCAGTGGGGCAACTAAGACTTACATGCCACAAACTGAGCCCACTCCACAACTAGAGAAGAGAAAACCTACATGGCCCAACTAGGGAGGAAGTTGGAGCACATGCAAGTAGGAGAAAAAAAACCCCACCCAAGTGAGCTTAACCAATTAAGGCAGTTCACAAGCGAGGGGTTTTGACATGATATTCCCTTTTTTTTAATAATTCTAGCTCAAGAAGTTGTTAGTCATCAGCTTCTGTTAACCCCTATGGGGCACAGTTTCAAGGTCATCCAATGTGGACTGGGGAACACATGCAGTAGCGCTCCTTTCTACTATTTCCCTTATACAGATGCCCATAAATAAGGTTGAGGACATAGATAATAAGTACCGACATGTGCTAAAACAAGGGTCCGAGTTTTGAGTATTTTTACTTGACCTGTATAAAGGATTACATCACAGGCCTGTGTTGTCCAATGTGTATTCATTTGAAAGAAACGTTTGGCAGAGTGGCCCGACTCTTGGGAGATAACTTCTAAGCCCTTGAAACAGTTGGACTAATAAGAGTGTGTGTTTACCCGGGGCCTTGTGCCATGCTAGCTAATTTATACTAATAATCTGACATGCCAGTGGGTAGGGGAGCCTTAGGGTCTCTGTAGCTGTTTGACATTCAGAGAAGCTAGAGAGTAAGTTCAGCCACACAGGTGTCCCTTGTGCGTGACATACTAAAAAAAGCCTGTATAATACCAGGTCTTGTGTGAGGTCCGCCCTTAGCAGTACACTTCATATTGTCACCCACGGATGCTGTGAGGCCTAAGTGACAGGGCACAGGAAACTGGCAATGTGGTCCCTCTGTGTACTTTATCCTATTGTGCCATCTTTCCTGCTTTTCATCTGTATCCTTTCACTGTAACAGATCATTAGCCCTTAATTCATAATAGCTTCTCTAACTTCTGGAAGTGTGGATAGCAATTTATTTAACCTGAAGGTGGTCTTCCACATTCCAGAACGTAATTGTACTTTTTAAAAAGTTTTGTTACGTATAATCAACTTAAAAATAAAATGCATTTTAAGTGCAGGGTTTGAAAAACATTGGCACAGGGTTACACTTCTGAAACCAAAGGTTTTCTCCTAGCCATTTGTAACTAATCCCCCCTTTAGCCTACAGAATTGATACTAGAAAATACTCTTCCTTCTTGCAATAGCCGTTGTTTTAGGATTTGCCACGTTTCTCAATTTCACCTGTATTGGATCTTATACTGTTTGACACGGTGACCAATGTTGGGGAGATAATAAAACAAGACCTTTTCCACAAAGTAGAGAAAAAACATACTTCCTTCTATGAGCTCAAAACTAAACTGAGGCACATCACAGACAGCCCACTAAAGACATTATAAAGACAGAAACCGCACCCATTCATGATACACCAAGCAGACAGAGCCCATTCAACGCAAAAAAACTCCTTGGCTGTCATTGAAATGTTTACTTTACCTCTTGACGAGTAGGGGAAGCCCTTCAGAGCTGGAGACCAGGGCTGCATCACTAATTCCCTTGTGAAGAAAATGACAGAACCTGCTGACGGCCCCCCCTTCTACCCCTGACCCCGGGGGCAGAGGCGGCCCGGCTTACCCTACCTGGTTCGCCCGCAGGCAGTGCGGGGCCAGACGGCCTCTGAATCAGGACCCGGGAAAACCCCACGGGGGAACCTCTGCAGACCAGGCCACGCGAGCCCGCGGCCGAACGGCTCACGCCCTCCTCGGGCCTCCCCACCCGGCCCGGTTCCCACCTCCAGAGCCGGGATACCCCCTTCCTGCTCCCTTCGGCAACCGGAGGGGACCCAGCCTCTTCCCTATAAGTCTGCAGGTACAACCTCCGGAGAGAGCACTAAGCGCGCCCGCCCGGCAAGACCGGAATGATCCCGCCAGCCCCGCCGACCTCCCGGAACTCTGCCTCGGGCATCGCGGCCGAATCCCATCCCCTGCAGACGTCGCCCGAGCTCCGGACGGGAAGGGACAAAATAAACGTGACCGCCAGATGGCGCCCGACAACCGGCGGGAACATTAGCGGGACGGATCCGGATCGCTGGCCGGCGAGGGCGCACTGCCGGCCGCCCGGATGCCCGACCTCGTTACGTCCCGGCCCACCTCCGAGCTGGTCTCATGGCCACGGGTTACAAACTCCCAGCTATAGCATGTGTGTTTTTGCTTCCTGCCCACTAGTGGAAGTCACTACCTAGTTCTTCCCGCCACTGTGGTCATAAAGGCACAGCCCCAACTCCTCTGCTTCCTGACACCTGCATGTGACAGGCTTCATGTGGTCTTACGTGTCCTGCTGTGCCTGTCGTTTCCTTGGGGAACTTTCAACGGCAGTAGCCTCTCCTGTCCTCACTCAGTCACCTCCATAAATTAAAATCCCGGGAGCACATTTTTACACAGTTGTAAAACTGACAAGAGGATTATTTAGCTTTTCGATAGTTTTATGTACGTCTCAAAGGGACAGAGAAAGAATTCAGAATTAGAAGTTTGCTAACGGAAATGCTCTAAGAAAAGAGATTGGAGGAGATTCATGGCACAAAGCTCCAAATACCCAACATTCCGAAAAGGTTACGGTGAATCCCAGTGAACAAGATAACACACTGTGAGCAAACAACCCAGTGCCTGCTTGCTTGCAGATTTTGGCAACCTACAGTAACATTTTCCAAGCCGGTCCTTTCTTGAATATGCATGCCCCCCAGGCTTAATACTTCAGTCCAGTGCTTTGAGAGCTATCTCCCTGTCTCCTTACTTGTCACAAGTAATAAATGCTTCTGCTTTAACTGAAAGTACTTGGTGTGTTCACTGGCTATGCACCTCAAGGCAAGGACCCACTGAGTCCGGTAACAATAATGATACACCTCAGCACAACTTGGAGGCCCGTGCACAGGCATCCTGGTGACACTGTGATGAGGTCTGCATGCTGACACCCCTCAACAAGCCTACGCACACACATGCATTACACCACATCCACAACAGAAAAGACATGTGATAGTCATGAGACACACAACCAGTGTATGTGGCACACATTAGAGGCTTGTGGGAATAGAGAGAGGTGCTGAACTACCACACCAGGTATGAGGACACAAATGCACAAATGCTCCAGGGAGACTTGTGAGACAAGCATGGGATAGGGAGGCCCAAAAGCCTAGTGTGTGGATATACACAGGATCACACAATCATGCACGTGGACCGAGTGTGACAGGTGGTTTCAACCTGGCTGGGACATAACCCCTGCTCTTCCCCATCCTAGCACCATCCCTGTAGGTTTGATGATGTGCTGATGGCAGCCAGAACAGAAGCCGGGTGCTCATCTTGCCACAACCTGCAGTCTCACATGTTTGAAGACCGAATGTAAACACTAAAGGTCACGTGATGGAAGCAAATCAGCCCAAGCCCTGGTAGCAGAAAACTATATCCGAAATGCCTGCTAACAAGGCCCAGGAATCACAGTCTGAAGGGGACAGAGTTGGGGGAGGTTATGGTCTCTACTGGAGGGTCAGTATGCGTTGAGGAAGTTTCAGGGACAGCGGATCAAGGATGGTTTGGCAAAGGGAGGAATTATTTCCCTGGATTGTTAGCCATTGTTTGGGAAGTTTGTATTTTACCCAGAGGGGTGAGGATGATCATGTAGCTGTGTTGTCATCCCAGGTGAGTCCTAAGTCTTTCCTCTTCCTGGTGTTTCTTGAAGTCTTTACTCCTGAGTAGACGGGCGTTTCTAATTTTCTATGTGCTGAACTGCAACTACAACAAAGACAATAAAACACATAGCTAAGTTAAATTCAGAGAAACAAACATGGAAAAGAAAGCTCATTGCTTAATTTTATAAAAGTTTCTTGGCCGTCCGGCAGATCTCTCATTTCAACAGCATTTGGACTGAACAGACCCAGGGGCGCCCCTTCCTCCTGACTCTGACCACTCTCCAACCTTTTTTCCAGTCACAACCTTGGAATCACCCACTCAGCTCTCCTCGCCCTCCGGGACCAGCCAACACCACTTTCTGAGCTTAGCTCCTTGTTGCCGACCAAGCATGAGCTCCCAGATTCGTCACAATTACTCCGCCAGGTGGAGGCCGCAGTCACCCGCCTGATAACGTGCATCTGCCTCTCTCCCATACCTACCTGTCTCTGCGCTTCTCGAGGGCGTGAGACATTGTTTCGCAAACTGGCCGAGGAGAAGCCGGAGGGCCCGAGCTCACTGGAAAAGGCAAAAGCAGCGCTGTGGCCTCGCCCTCTTACAGGAGGTGCCGAAGCCGTCCCAGGAGCATGGGTAAAGCCCAGGACGCCGTGGAAGCCGCCCGGCTGACGGAGAAGAACCTGCGCCAGGCCCTGTGGGTCCGCAGGCCCTGGGCTCTGCCCGCGCAGACTCCACCTCTGGACTTCCTGGAGCCACTTCCTGGATGAGCAGGTGAAATTCATCAAGAAGATTGGCGACCACCTGACCAACCTCCGCAGGCTGCTCGGCCCCCAGGCTGGGCTGGGCGAATGTTTCTTCCAAAGGCTCAGCCTCAGGCACCACTAGGAGCCCCTGGAGCCCAGCGGCCTGTGAGGAGCCCCTCTGGGGTCAGGGCTTCTCCCTGAAGCCTGTCCCTGCAGCCACTGGGCAGCTTGTTAACCACCCTGGAGCCCTCTCCAAGCCTTGGGCCAAATGGAAAAAATAGCGCTTTTTGCAGGGGAAAAAAAGTTTCTGTGAAACATTGTAAAGTGACTGGAACTTTAACAGGAAAACCAGGATGCATACAGGTAGCCACGTATGGGTTTCACAGTTACTACTGTGGTCTTATTCTCAGGATGATCTTATCAGTCAGGTTGTGTTGAAATTCCTCCCTTGGGACTGTCTTTGGGACTAATTTCAAAGCTGCATGAAATAATCAATATGACCTTTGGTTTAAAAAAATGTACTGTCCAGTTGAGCCCTCCTTGGAGCCTTTTATATAATCAAATACATACTTTTGTGTTGCCAAGGTGGACACGAACCCTTTATGTTGTGTTTTATCCAATATTGTTACTGCACACACGGCTCTCAGTGAGAAAAAACATCATTTTTTCCGCTAAATTTATAATGTTTTGAGAATAGCTTGTGTGGTTCCTGTATTCTGTAGGAAAGTTAAGTTGCGTTTTGAAGACACTACCCTCTTATATCTCCTCTCAAGATAATTGTCTGGGTTGTAGCTGTAGCTGTACATGAATCTGATCCTTGGGATCCATAAGAGTCAGAGAATCCACTCTCAGGAAACAATTCTTGGTTCAAAGCAGAGGGTTATTCTTTCCATAACTGGGAGCTCCTTGGGACAAGGTGGTCCATAAAGGGACCTGGGCCCCAAACTACAAGACATATGAGATGCATCCCAGTGGGTGAAGGACCCACTAGGGTTCATTCTCTCACCATCCAGTTTTCTCTGCCTTGTCTTCATATCTGTGGTCACTCAGAGGGTCTGGCTGTGGCCTTGCTGCTCCACCCACCAAGCACTGTGTTCTGAGTAGTGGGATGATATGGATGACAGAGATATGGGTCCTGCCCTTGAGCAGGGAAGGAGCTCGTCATTAAGTTTGGTACACATATGTGAAAGCAGGTGCATGCAGTGAAACAATTCTACTGCTATGGCAAAAATGTATTCTGAGTTCATGAGTGAGAGAAGGGTTGAATCTTGGAGTCATGGGACAGGTGAGCAGGGTAGTGTTCCCTGGTGTCTGAGAGCTTTGATTCTGGGGATAGAGCGGAATTCAAACCCTTCTAAGCTCTGCTGATAGTCCTGGGTCGGGTGACTCTGAGGGTGGAAAAATCAACCCAACCATTACAAGTCAATCAAATATACTCACGAAGAAGGGAAATCTCCACAAGCTGCCTGCAGAAGCCAGCTGGAGTCCTCTTGTCCAGAACTGGGTAATATCCCACCCAAAACAATCAGTGGGAAGTGAATGAGATACCCCAAAAGTCAAGAGACGGGTAAGTCCTCCAGATGAAGGAAGAAAGTGTAGCTTCCTGCCTCCCAAGCACTGTAAGGATGATTCATACACAGTGCGGCACCCTGCCGTGTGGCAGAGGAGGGAAGGCTAACATAACAGATACTGGTAACAACTTATTTCTGGCAAGGACTCCAGGCAGGTCCGGAAGTGCAAGGTGTTATCATGAAAGCTTCCAATATACTTGGTACTTAAGAGAATCTTCCTGGGATGTCTGGAGGCATGAAGTTCAATTTATGGCTGAGTTCTCTTTCACAAAGACTAATCTCCAAATGTCGCTCTGTAATTACGTAGAACAAGGAAACAGCATGTTGCCTGCACTCCGAAGATGTTTCTCCGATTTAAATTTACCAGTGCTGTTTGAGTTTAGGCTAATAGCTGAATAACTTTCAACATTCACTGCATTCCTAACACTCTTCTGGGTTTGTAGTTGTTTTGTAAGATTTAAAAGTTCTTGATGACACTTGGGTAGATAAAAAGAAGAATTCTGTTACCTAGGGCTTAGGATGAGACAAGGGCATCAGGCAGGGCACACAACAGGCTGTACAGGGACACAGTAAGTAACCTGGGGTTGTAGGGAGCACCCTATACATAGCAGGTGGTCTGGGGCTACCTAGGTTTCCCAGGTTCCCCATGGATGACCTAGCTGGAATAATTTCATGGGGTCAGGGGCATACAGGCTGTCTCCAGTTGCCTGGTTTCCTGGCCCTGGGACATAAGGGATGGTGTCCAGAGTGTGAGTGCCTGATATAGACAGTGATTGGTTGTGGTCTTAATCAGCTGCTGCTCTAAAAGAGGAAATGACTAACATCAAGCCAGGGACTCAAAACTGAAATATAACTAATAAGGAGCTACTGTCTAACACAGGGAACTCTACTCAAAACTCTGTAATTGTCTATATGGGAAAAGAATCTAAAAAAGAGTGGATATATGTATACGAATAACTGATTCACTTTGCTGTACACCTGAAACTAACACAACATTGTAAATTAACTACATTGTAATAAAAATTTTTAAAAAGCAAAAACAAAACACTGGTACTGCCATAAACACAAAACTTTAGGCCAATGAAACAGAACAGAGTGCCCCAAACTGGAAGCCAGTATATTTGATCAAATAATCAACAAGAGTGCCAACGCAATTCAATGGGAGGAGGACAGTCTCTCCAACAAATTACAGTGGATATCTGCATTCAAATGAATGAAGTTGGACCCTTACCTTACACCACACCCAAAAATGAACTCAAAATAAACAAAGACCTGACAGTACGATGTAAGCTCAAAAACTCTTAGATGAAGACATAGGGGGAAAGCTTCATGACATTGGATTTATAACTTCTTGGCATTGACATGAAAAGCATAGGAAACAAAAGCAAAAATAAGGGTACAAACTTCTGTGCAAAGGACACAATCAACAGAGTGAACTGGCAAGCTACTGAATGGAAGAAAAGCATTTGCAAATCATATATTTGATAAGTGGTCAGTATCCAGATTATATAAAGAACTGCTAAAACTCACCAATAAGAAAAATTTTAAAGGGGTAAACATAGAGATTTTTACAAAGAATATACAAATGGCCAGGAAGACATGATAATTAATCATTAGGGAAATGCTAAACAAAACTACAGTAAGGGAACTTCCCTGGTGGTCCAGTGGTAAAGAATCCACCTTGCAATGCAGGGGATGTGAGTTCGATCCCTAGTTGGGGAACTAAGGTCCCAAATGCCACAGGGCAACTAAGCCCACGCATCACAACTACTGAGCTCGTGCTCCTCAACTAGAGAGCCCGCATGCTGCAAACTACAGAGCCCACACGCTCTGGAGCCTGAATGCCACAACTATACAGCCCATATGCTCTGGAGCCCACGCACCACAACTAAAGAACAGAAAACCTGCACACCACACCTAGAGAGAAGCCCACGGGCCACAACTAGAGAAGAGAAAATCTGCATGCCACACTAGAGAAGCCCATGTGCCACAACAAAGAGCCCGCATGCTGCAACTAAGACCCGACGCAGCCATAAAAATATATATATAAAATAAAATAAACAAAACTACAGTGAGATATTACCTCACATCCATTAGGATAGCTACTATTAAACATGAAATGGAAAATAGAATTATGTCAATGAGGATGTGGAGATACTGGAACTCTGTGGACATTTGATGGGAGCATAAAATGGTATAGCCAATAAAGGGAAGAGTTCAAAATGTTAAAAATAGATTGGGGACTTCCCTGGTGGTGCAGTGGTTAAGAATCTGCCTGCCAATGCAGGGGACACGGGTTTGAGCCCTGGTCTGGGAAGATCCCACATGCCATGAAGCAACTAAGCCCGTGTGCCACAACTACTGAGGCTGCGAGCCACAACTACTGAAGCCCACGTGCCTAGAGCTGGTGCTCCACAACGAGAAGCCACTGCAATGAGAAGCCCGCACTCCACAACTAGAGAAAGGCCGTGTGCAGCAATGAAGACCCAATGCAGCCAAAAATAAATTTAAAAAAAAAATTGACCATATGATCCAGGAATTCCACTTCTGGCTATACACTGAAAATAACTGAAAACAGGATCTCAAGGAGATATTTGTGCAGTCGTTCTCACAGCTGCACTCTTTACAACAGCTAAAATATGGAAACAAGGGAAGTCTTCATCACCAGATGAATGGATAAAGATGTGTATATGCATACAATGGAGTATAACTCAGGCTTAAAAAGGAAAGGACTTCTGAAACAGAACACGTGATACGTGAAATGTGAGATTCTGGTAAATGAAGTCTTCACAAAACTACAAAAACTGTATGATTCTTCTTACATGAGGCAGCTGGGGCACTCAAATTCAAGGAGACAGAGAATAGTGGTTTCCAGGGGCTGGAGAAGGAGAGGAGTACGAGTTGTTATTTAATGAGTACAGGGTTTCATTTTTGCAAAACAAGAGGAGCTCTGGAGATTAGGTTGCACAACAGTGTGAATGTACCTCACGGTACTGAACGGCACGCTAAAATACTTAAAAGATGGCAAGTTTTATGTGTGTGTATTTTAACACAATAAGAAGGAAAAAAAAAAAAAACCCAAAGGTACATAATATGTACTTCACAGTGCCAATCAGAGCAGACTTTCGGCTGAAGTCCTTTCCCCATTTGCTTCCTTCATAAGTTCTTTCTCTGGTGTGAACTTTTTGGAGCCAAATGAATGGAAGTTTTGACTACAGACTTTCCAGCACTCACTGCACTCAGAAGGCATTTCTCTGGTGTAAATTCAACAGTGTTTAACAAGACCAGAGCTGTATGTAAAGATGTTCCCTTATTTGCTGTTCTTATAATGCCTCACATCAACGTGAACTCGCTAGTGTGTACTGACTCTGGAGTTTTACTACAAAAATTTCCCACATTAGCTGCACTAATAAGGCCTTTCTCCGGTGGGATTTGTCCAATGTCTAATGAGTGTAGAGCTGCAACAAAAGGATTTCGTACATCGATGCACTCATAAGGCCTTTCTCCAGTATGATTTCTCTGATGTCTAATAAGGGTGTAGCAGTACCTAAAGAATTTTCCACATTTGGGGCTTCCCTCATGGCGCAGTGGTTAAGAATCCTCCTGCCAATGCAGGGGACATGGGTTCGAGCCCTGGTCCAGGAAGATCCCACATGCTGTGAAGCAACTAAGCCTGTGTGCCACAACTACTGAGCCTGAGCTCTAGAGCCCACGAGCCACAACTACTGAGCCCATGCGCTGCAACTATTGAAGCCCACGTGCCCTAGAGCCCATGCTCAACGACAAGAGAAGACACCATAATGAGAAGCCCGTGCACCACAACAAAGAGTAGCCCCCGCTCCCCACAACTAGAGAAAGCCCGCGTGCATCAACAAAGACCCAACGCAGCCAAAAATAAATAAATTAAAATAAATTTAAAAAAATTTTTTTCCACATTTGCTGTACTCATAACGTCTTTGTCCAGTGTGAACTTTCTAATGAATAATGAGTGAAGAGCTGTCCATAAGGAATTTCCCACATTCGCTGCACTTGTAAGGCCTTTCTCCAGTGTGGATTTTCTGGTGCTCAACAACTGTGTCTTTGTGGCTGAAAAAGTCTTTTCACCACTGTGGATTTTCTGGTACTCAACAAGCCTATGTTTGCAGGTGAAGGCTCTCCCGCATTCAGTGCACTCAAAAGGCCTTTCTCCAGTGTGAACTCTCTGGTGTCTAATGAGTGTGGAACAGTTCCTAAAGAATTTTCCACACTCACTACCACCGTAAGTTCTTTCTTCAGTGTGGATTTTCTGGTGACCAACGAGTTGGGACGGTCTAAAGAAGGCTGCACTCAAAAGGCCTTGGCCTTGTGTGAATTCTCTGGTAGTCATTGAGGCCAGATATTTCTGTAATGAATACTCCACATTCTGAGTGCTCATAAAGCCCAGGCTCAGTGTGGACTTTCTGATGCTGCTCGTGGTGGGACTTTCTAAGAAAGGCCTTCCCACATTCCCTATGCTCATAAAACTATTCTCCAGTGTGGATCTTCTCTTGGTCAACAAGTGTATGGTTATGGCTGAAGGCTTTCCCACACTGAGTGCACTTGTAAGCACTTTGCCCATTTTGAAAGTCCTCTCCATCTGCAATGTCCCCATGTGGCTTTCCCACACCATGAAGAGGCTGGTGCTGGAGAGGGCCTGTGCTGGCTGGGAAGTCCTTCCCACCTTCCCTGCATGTGAAGGTCCTCTGTGTCATGTGGACAGTACAGTTTTTCACAAATGAAGGCCTCCCCTTGTCCTTTCAGGAAAGTTTCTCTCTAATGTGACGTTTTTGGTGCTGGCAAAGCTTTGCCTCACAAGTGTATAGTCCTTGCCCAGGGTGCATTCCACCCTGCTCAGCCAGGGACAGAATGTCTTTCAAGAGTGAGCTGCATGTCCCACAGGGCTGGGCATTCCCGATGGAGGGACCTGGCTTTGGCGTCCTGGCCAGTGACACTTCTATAGAAACACCTTGCTCTGAAGCTGGCTCCTCATCCTGGGCTCCATGCCAACAACCTGCAACCAGAGAAATGCTGGTGAAGCATATTGACACTGGTGGGAGGAGCAGCCCCACCACAAATATGTGTCACCCACACCTACGAATAAATCCATAGGACTGATGATAAGCAACAGGGGCCAGAGCCAGTGAGAAGGCCTGCTGTGCAGAGCTGTGCCTGGGAAGCTCAGATGATGGGAGAGCCCTGACAGTAGGCAAGGACACAAGGAAGGGGTACAGTGCAGGGAGGAGAAGGGTCCCCAGCTCACTCCTCTGAAAATGGCTTTCCACAAGGCCATGGCTGCTGGTGAGAAGTGAGTACTGGGTAGAAGGCTGTGTCCAGAGCCAGAGATGTCTGATTGTGACCCAGTAGTTGGTATCCAAGGACTGTTTAAAGATATGTGCAAATAGAATGGCCATTCATTAAAAACTCTACAAATAACAAATGCTGGAGAGAGTGTGGAGAAAAGGGAACCCTCCTACACTGTTGGTGGGAATGTTAATTGGTGCTGTCACTGGAAAATACTATGGAGCTTCCTCAGAAAACTAAAAAGAGAAGTACCATATGATCCTGCAATCCCACTCCTGGGCATATATCCAGATAAAACTCTAATTCAAAAAGATAAATGCACCCATATGTTCACAGCAGCACTATTCACAATAGCCAGGACATAGAAGCAACCTAAATGTCCATCGCCAAATATATAAAGAAGATGTGCTACATATATACAATAGAATACTGCTCAACCATAAAAAAGAATGAAATAATACCATTTGCAGCAACATGGATGCAGCCATAGATTATCATACTAAGTGAAGTAAGTCAGAAAGAGAAAGACAAATACCATATGATTTCACTTATATGTGGAATCTAAAATATGACACAAATGAACATATCTATGAAACAGACTCATAGACATAGAAAACAGACTGGTGGTTGCCAAGGGGAGGGTGTTGGAGGAGGGATGGAGTGAGAGGTTGGGGTTAACAGATGTAAGCTACTATACATAGGATGGATAAACAACAAGGTACTACTGTATAGTACAGGGGACTATATTCAATATCCTGTGATAAACCATAATGGAAAAGAATATTAAAAAATAAAAGGATGTATATCTATGTATAACTGAATCACTTTGCTGTACAGTAGAGATTAACACAACATTGTAAATCAATTATACTTCAATTAAAAAAATACAGGAACTTGTAACTTAGATAAAAAAGATATGTGCAAATGTCACAATAGCTTAAGTGTGGGTCAAATGTTGACAGCACGGCAAAGGAATAGGAGGTGGAGACTACAAAAGTCAGGGGAGCCGAGGACTGGAAGATTAGAAATGACAATAGGAAAGAAAATGTAGAAATGAAGTGTGACCACTGTCCCTGGCATCACCCAGTGGTGGTGGCCTGGCTTCCACTGTGATTTGAAGCCAGCTTTGACAACACCCCCTCTCCCAGCTCCTAAGCTCCAGAGCCACTTCTTTTTGGCACTGATGGAGTAATGTCCATCCTTTCAAGACACTCAGGCCCCTCTCGCTGCCTCATGGTGAGCACTTCTATGGGACCTGGCACAGACCAACCCAGGTGAAACACAGGAAAAGGGAGTGGACAGCATGCCCCCAGAGCGAGCCAATACATGACGGCCCCCATTCAAAAATCGCAA